TTTTGACTCTATGTGATTGAGATAGGAGGATTATATGAGGGAAATGATGGTGAAAAAATGAGGTTAAAAAGAGAGGAAGAAACAAAGAATAATGAACGAAAATAATATCTATAAAGTAAAAACCATTCAAAATAGTTTTTGCTTTCTATTTTTAGCTTCATATTTGTAACATTCTTATTCATTCCTCCTAGATCTCTAACTATTATTCCACCTACTCTTTTAAATAAAAACGAATTGGTTATCAAACAAGTCTTCTTAAATATATAATAAGGACGTATATTTAGAAATACTAAAAGGACCTATGTATTTGAGAGTTGTTATGTAGGTAGAGCTCATAAAACGATTTTGCTAAGAGTGTTTCGTCAGAAGTACGTCGAAATCTTCTTTAAAAGCTCAAATCATTCATTGCTAATTAAGATTTAAGTGTTTTGTTATACAACTCTAAGGTCTTAGGTCTAACATTCTAACTTCTTAAATTGTGTTCCATCTTCGTAATATATAAGTTAATTAAGCTAACAAAATTCTGTGTAGATCAATATACTGAATGAAAAGAGACCCGATTGGCAATTTTTTTAATCTGTTTTCTTTGCTTTTCTTTGTAATTATAGAACAGGAGAACTGGGGAAGCAGGGTAAGTGTTAAAGTAGAGTCCTAACCAATCTTACCTTCCTTTGTTATGCGATAAACTCCAAGTATTACTGCTGCTGTATTATCAGGTTGTATTGGGAGAAATATAATCCCGTTAGGACTCTTGTATAGCTGAATCATTTGTGTGTATTTATACAACAACTCAAACAACTAATGAATATAACTTTCACAAATATTCTAGACTTTTGTTATTGGTTTTATTCTTTACCGTGCCTCTTCAGCTGTGTTTCTACATGGTATCATCCCTCCTTCTGGCTTAACAACCTTCGATCCTGCTTCCTGCCTCGCTATGTCTTCCTCCTCTTCACTTCCCTGACCTAATGTGGCGCAGTTCCTGAAACTAACCGACTCCAACTACCTCACGTGGCTTCGTCAAATCAAGCCATTCCTAATTGGCCATGATTTCTGGAAATTTGTTGACGGCTCACATCCCCCACCGGCGGCCACCCTCACTGTTACTGCCACTCCTATCCCCGTCTCCTCCGACTATTAAATTAACAGTTGTTAAATTACAAACTAAAACTTTTAACAAGCAGTTTTTAGTAATCGGAGTTAATTAAAACTAATTATCCACTTCTTCATAATACTCCTCACACTAGTAAAAAAAACACTTTGCGCGACACAGGTCCTTCGTCGCGCAAAGTCAAAAAACGTCGCGCAAAACTTTGCCCAACGCACCTTCGTCGCGCTCAAACCGTCGTGGCAAGGCAGTGACAGAAGGCTTTGCGCAACGCATGTAACCCTTCGTCGCGCAAAGTAGTTTTGCGCGACGCAGTCTACGTCGCGCAAATACACTTTGCGCGACGCCGCCTACGTCGCGCAAAACTACTTTGCGCGTCGCGCAAAGTGTATTTGCGCAACGCATGTAACCCTTTGTCGCGCACAAAGTAATTTTGCGTGACGTATGCTACGTCGCGCAAAACTACTTTGAGCGACGTAGCCTACGTCACACAAAGTGTCTTTGAGCGACGCATGTAACCCTTCGTTGTGCAAAGTCATTTTGCGCGACACAACCTACGTTGCACAAGAGACCCCTTTTTTTGTTTTGGTCAAAATTTTTTTTTTTAATTTTTAATAATATTGTAATTAAATTCTAAACAATAATTAATTAACCAAAGAAAATTAATTAATTATAAAATATATGAAAATGTACATACAAAATGTCTGAACAAAAAAAGAAAAAACTACAAGTAGTCTTCTAAGTGGAGTGGCTACTGAGTATCGATAGAGTGAAATGGCTCGAAGGTCGAAGGTGTAGCAAGATCAGGTACTAATAGCAAGATTTGGAGGCCGAACATCTGTATGGCTCGTACAAGATCTCTCACATGCCCGACATAGGCCTTCATCTCCTCGCCATGGACCGCAAGCTGACGCCTTAGGGTTGTCACTTCCTCCTTCAAAGGAATAGGTCTTATAATGAGGCAAAACCAAATTGTATAATAGACTGAAATGAAACTGTAGCAGGAGCAACACCATTGTATGTTAGCAAATAGAAACATGAATAGCAACATACTTCAGTGTAAAAAAAGGAGAAAAGAATTGAGGATCAGATAAGTTTGAGCGGTTACTATACTTTGCATATTTTAGCATGAATAAACCAGTATTGTTAATCAAGATAATCAACAAAAAAGGCAAACCTCAAAGGATTGTCTTCTCCAATTCTGCCTCTAACATTATCCTTACTCTCTCCATGCCTAGTAAGTAATATTGGGCGGGGCGTGAGGTGTGTATTCACCTACAACAGTGTACCAGAAATTTATGAATACGTGACCCAAGTATGAAGAGACAAAACGACCAAAAAGGAGCCAAAAGAGCGCAAAAGAGATAGCGGGGGTGGGGAGGGCGTTTGAGGCTTAGGGATAATCAACTTATCTCAGTTTTTTATGTCGAGATTCCATTGTAAGATTTTGGTATGGTAATTACAAGTGCAATTTAAAAGAGGAACCTTTTACTAAGATGGTTAACTGTAATTTCATCAAGTGCAAATATAGATATATTCACCAAACAAGACATGTAATTAAAACTAGACGAAAAAGACTAACAATGAACACAAATGCATGAATTCAAACCATTTAGAAACGAACTATAACTCAAGGTTCTGTGAGAACACTAGCTTACTTATTTAACTCAAACTATAACCATTTCATACTCCCACTAACTCAGCATATCAAAGCTCGAAATTAATTCCATAAATAATGAACCAATATCAATGTCTTGACCTTTTCCCTGACCAATCTGTGCTTAATATGCATGTGCTTGGTTCCTGAAGACCTCTTGTTCTTAGAATAGAAAACTATAGCAGTATTGTCACAAAGAATCTGTAAGGGCCTTCTAATGATACCTAGAACCATCATTCCTTCTATAAATTTTCCTATCCATACAGTGCATATATCATTGTACTATGCTCACGATTTTACAACTATTAACACAATCTTCTCGAAGCAATGATAACCCACACATAATCAACCTAACATAATCTAGGACAGAAATTATAAATACAAACCAAATTCCTCTGTATCCATCATGACAGCTATTTCAGTTAGCTTTTGGATCTCAAGAAAATGAAAACCAGATATTACTCTACTTATGAGAAATATCAGTGTCTCAGGCCAGATGATGATGCTGTAACAACTCTAAGTAGTTTTCAATGCTTTGATATCTACAAGTTTTGTTAATAGTAAGCACATTAGGTGAAAATGAAAATGAAAACAAGGAAAATGAAAACTTTCCTTGTTGCAAATCACTTTACGCAACATGTCACCCGTTGGCAACATTTTTTTCATGCTATGACCAAGATTGGACTTCAAGTTAGCGAGTCTTAAACCAGTCCGAACCTGCACTAAACCTTTAGGAACAACCTATCAGGAAAACTAATAATTTGAACAAGCTTTAGAATCAGTTCTGCTTCAGGCTACACGATTATATCACATATTGTCCGGTGGTAGTACATTTAAGAAAGTCAACTAAGCAAATAACAGCCTGTAGCTAAACGTTTCATATCTTTGTTTCATATCTTTGATCAGCGACCCCTATGCAAGCTCATTGATAGCATTTAAAAATGATCCAGTCAAGAAAAGTATACAAATTAGCTAATGATTTTGTAGATACCTGTGCAGCGTTGTTAAATTTAGGTAAAGGATTCCCATTATTATATGTTGCTTTGACAAGTTCATCGAACATGTAGCCATATTGTACGTCACTCTTCTCCAGTTGTTTGTTCAGACCTTCCACATAGTTTCGATGATGGCCTCCCCAATGAACTTTCAATGTTCTCTGACTCATATACGGCTCCAAAGCATCCTGAAAACAGAAACATTACATTTCAGTCAAGGAAGATCATATGCATATTGCAAGCATAATATAATTACATGTATGTATCATCACGTGACAAGAATAAGCAGCTCGAAACAGAATAGTAATCTCTACACAATAAGATTTACAACACGAGATGGATAACTTCATAGAATCAAATGCTACACCACACGAACTTCAGAAACCAAACAATCAAATTACTAAAGTATCTTGCAAATCCAATCAGGTAATAAGAAACCGCAAAACTTCTCTTGGTGAACCTAATGTGACAATAGAAGCTGACTTGGCCAACTCGATTTCATGTCCTTAAAATTGGTTAAAGGAGAAACTAGTTTACTTACAAGAATATAAGGAGGTTTCTTCAATCCATAGTAAGCACAAACTAACCCCAACTTTTGGCCTTGAACGGCTACAATGATTCCAGTCTCTTAAACTGTAACAACAACTATTAACATACATAGAGAGTAATTCTTAAACCTTGAAATTCAGCCCATTTCCTAATAATTTATCCCAAATAAAAACCTGATTCAATCCCCATTTCAAAATTAAAACCCTAATTCCCATTCACAATTTTTCAAACCCTGAAATCCATCCCATGCCCTACTAATTTATCCCAAATTAAAAACCTAAATTCTAAAATTCATCTCAATTCACAATCAAAATCCTTAATTTCAAAATTCCATAATTTGTAATTAGACTTACTTTCGAGAGAGACGAGCACGACGAAGGGGGTGGTGGCTGCCTGTCATTTAGAACGAAAGCGAGAGAGACAACCGATAGTGGGTTTGAGATTGGGGCAATTTGGGGTTCAAGATTTGGGGTTCGAGCGAAGAGGAGGAAGCCTACGGGAGAGAGGGTATGATGAGCGAAGAGGAGGAAGGCTACGGAAGAGAGAGACCGAGTGAGAGAGAGAGAGAGAGAGAGAGAGAGAGAGAGAGAGAGAGAGAGAGGGGTCTGGGAAGAGGAGGAGGGCGTGAAGAGCGAAGGGGTCTTGGAAGATTTTGTCAAAAATTATCAAAAATGGCGCTTATTTTTTACACTTGCGCCAAAATATTCAAAACTGGCGCGACGTAGGTATACAATTCGACGTCGCGCAAAGTGTTTTTGCGCGACGACAGCATAAAGGCGTCGTGCAAGGTATTTTTTATTTTAAAAAATATTATAAAAATGATTGAAAATGTGACTTTACTCATTTTAAATTTAATTATTTTTACATAAAACTCATAATAATATATTTTTAACAAAAACCTGACTAATAAATTGGTAGCTACTTAATAAATATACATATCATTCAATTTCTTAAGTATTATACGTAAAAAATAAATAAATTTAAATCTACTTGATAAATATATATACCATTGAACTTGATGCGATACCACATTGTACGTAACTAATTTAAATGATCTAACCGTCAAACTTGTTTGTATATGCTTCAAGATTGCATACACCAAAAATGGCAAAAAACAAACCTTCAGAGTGATAGTAACGGGACAAAACATTTCGACAGCTATAAACGAAAAAATCACGATTTAACGGTTATTTTAACTCCGATTTTGATGATTTTTTACAACTACACTCTTGGATCTTATATGAATACAAGGAACTAATTCGATCGTCAATTTAAAACATTTACACAAGTGAATACCACAAAATCTTATGTTATACTTGATGAAAGTATAAATAAAATATAAGTGTTAGGAAATCTATTGTTTTAATGGGATACGCATTGTACAAAACAAGTTTCAATGATCAAACCGTCAAACTTGTTTGTATATACTTCAAGATCGCATACGCCAAAAATGAAAAAAACCAAACCTTCAGAGATCAAGTAACGGGACAAATCTTTTCGACGGTTATAAACGAAAAAATCACGATTTAACGGTTATTTTAACTCCAATTATGATGATTTTTTACAACTACACTCTTGGATCCTATATGAATACAAGTAACTGATTCGATCGTCAATTTAAAACATTTACACAAGTGGATACCACAAAATCTTATGTTATACTTGATGAAAGTATAAATAAAATATAAGTGTTAGGGAATCTATTGTTTTAATGGGATACACATTATATAAAACAATTTTCAACGATCCAATCGTCAAACTTGTTTGTATATGCTTCAAGATCACATACGCTAAAAATGGAAAAAAAAAACCTTCAGATATCAAGTAACGGGACAAATCTTTTCAACGGTTATAAACGAAAAAATCACGATTTAACGGTTATTTTAACTCCGATTTTGATGATTTTTTACAACTACACTCTTGGATCCTATATGAATACAAGGAATTTATTTGATCGTCAATTTAAAACATTTACACAAGTGGATACCACAAAATTTTATGTTATACTTGATGAAAGTATAAATAAAATATAAGTGTTAGGGAATCTATTGTTTTAATGTGATACACATTATACAAAACAAGTTTCAACAATCCAACCGTCAAACTTGTTTGTATATACTTCAAGATCGTATACGCCAAAAATGGCAAAAAACAAACCTTCAGAGATGAAGTAACGGGACAAATCTTTTCAACGGTTATAAACGAAAAAATTACGATTTAACGGTTATTTTAACTCCGATTTTGATGATTTTTTACAGCTACACTCCTGGATCTTATATGAATATAAGGAACTAGTTCGATCGTCAATTTAAAACATTTACACAAGTGGATACCACAAAATCTTATGTTATACTTGATGAAAGTATAAATAAAATATAAGTGTTAGAGAATCTATCGTTTTAATGGGATACACATTGTACGAAACTAGTTTCAACGATCCAACCGTCAAATTTGTTTGTATATGCCTTGAGATCACATACGCCAAAAATGGTAAAAAAAAAAATCTTCAGAGATCAGGTAACGGGACAAAACTTTTCGACGGTTATAAACGAAAAAATCAAGATTTAACGGTTATTTTAACTCCAATGTTGATTATTTTTTATAGCTACACTCCTGGATCCTATATGAATACAAGGATCTGATTCGATCATCAATTTAAAACATTTACACAAGTGGATACCACAAAATCTTATGTTATACTTCATGAAAGTAAGAATAAAATATAAGTGTTAGGGAATCTATTGTTTTAATGGGATACACATTGTACAAAACTAGTTTCAACGATCCAACCTTCAAACTTGTTTGTATATGCTTTGAGATCACATACGCCAAAAATGGCAAAAAATAAACCTTCAGAGATCAAGTAACGGGACAAAACTTTTCAACGGTTATAAAAGAAAAAATCACGAGTTAACGGTTATTTTAACTCCGATTTTGATGATTTTTTACAGCTACACTCTTGTATTTTATATGAATACAAGGAACTAATTCGATCATCAATTTAAAACATTTACACAAGTGGATACCACAAAAGAAAAAGGCAATGCAAGAACCCCAATAGAAAAGCAAAAGGAAAAAAAAAAAACTTTGCGCAATGGATGTACAACCGTCGCACAAAGGTTTTTTTTTTTTTTTTTTCTTCCTATGTTCCACAATTTTAACTTCTTGTATATCTCTTCCACTCCTGCCTTAAAATTATTGTTTAAGGACCTATATGATGAGACCACGTATTCAAAATAGTAAAGGGTAGAGACTACACCTAAAATGATTACTAACCACGTAATAGAATAGTGGTTTGACAAAGCTATAAACTAGCTTTTTCTCTAAATCTCTAACATTCTAGTTTCCTCCTCCCAATTTAGTGAGAAATGAAATCATTTTTTAGCACACATCAATCTATCCCTAAATTGGATCAAGTTAACTGAGCAGCTTGCAGTTTCTTAGCTTTTGTTTCCCTAAACCTATCAAAATCCTTCATACTCCTAGTCATTCATTCTACTCATTCAATTGTTCAAAACCAAACTCAACTTGTTAAAAATAAGCATTGACAAAGATAATTAAAGAAAAACATAAATACACAAAAATAAAAAAATCCGAACATAAATGTAATCAATAAATAGTTAATTAATTAATCAAATAAATACAATACTTGAAGGTGAAGATGGTGAAGGTTGAGAGAGATGGAGAGTCTGAAAGAGAGAGGTTGAGTGGTGAAGAAAAAGGCCATTGTGTGTGGTTATTTAAAAAAAAAAAAATCGTCGACTTTGCGCAACGCCACATACGTCGCACAAAACAGCATTGCGCGACGTAGGTGCACCTGCGTCACGCAAAGTTGGGATGGGTTGGCGCCAAAATTTTGCATGACGCACAAAACGTCGCGCAAACAGCCTTTGCACGACGACACGTTGCGCGACGAAGGCTGGAGTCGCGCAAAACAGCTTTGAGCGACGTAGGTATACCTTCGTCGCGCAAAACAGCTTTGCGCGACGCCAGCCTTCGTCGCGCAAAGTGTCGTCGCGCAAAGGCTGTTTGCGCGACGTTTTGTGTGTCGCGTCGCGCAAACATACTTTGCGCAACGAAAATTGCTGCGTCGCGCAAACATGTTTTTGTACTAGTGTCAACAGAGAAAATTTTCCTTCATAACTGCATACTCCAGCATTAGCAAACATCAAGCAGCTTATATATACAGCTCTACACACTTTTCCTCACACCAAAAAATATTATACAAAATACTTAAAAGTATAAATGAAAATTAAAAAAAAAAAAAAACAGTCGAGAGCTCAACCTAATATACGGAAAGGTCAGAGAAATAAAGATAAAAAAGCAAGAGCCAGTCTGCAGAATTTTTATCTGTAAGATTTGAGAATGGATCCACAAAAAGTGCACATGATGGCCTTCCAAGATTTCCAGTAAAACGGAATATAGCAAAACCTAGTCGAAGTCTTTATGTCAGCCACGCTTGCTCCGCTCCCACATCTTGAACATGTTCCAGCCACCGGCTTGGTCCGCCACACCTTCCTCCTCTGGTCTACTAGAAAACAAAAGCAAACCATTTCAGAGGCTTAAGACTTTGCTTTCTGAATATTTAATCCTACGTTGTATATGTTGTACCAATAAATAAGAGACAATATCATGGTATTTATATGAATGAAAATTAGGTGAAAAACCAAGGGGTCGAGAAGTGTGATGAGCTGTATATATGTACACACTAGTATTGGTTTTGAAAATCAACGATGGAGATTTGTTTGATAAGTTTTTTTCAAATAATAAATTTTGTTAGATTAGATGTGTACCTACCGACGAGATTTGAACTCACACTGTTATATAAGGACTCAACACATTTTCACTACTGTAGTAAAAGACCACTTGCAAGTGATGTTATTATTTCATTTGGTATAATATGCATGGATAGATACTATTTTTGATATCTTCATAATTTATAATATAGTATTAATCGATTAATACACATATGTTAACGTAGTTTAAGTGATAAATGTTGAAATATTCCCTCATCGATCATATCTTTGAGAACAAAAGAGTTTAAATATCTCTACCTCACTCCAACTAGTATCTAGGTTTTTTGTGCTAAAATCTCACACCTTTCGAACTATGCAAGTTGTAATTAACAAATTGATGGTAATAACGGTATTATTGAAAGTGAACCTTTACCCCGTCTCTTTGATAATTTAACAATTGAAAACTTGCCTTGTAGCTAAGAAATCATGTAATAATCGTGTGGATGACCGATGGCTGCCGTGGTGAGCGGCGGTTCGGGTGTGTACGTAAGTGTGATAGTCACGGTTCCTAGATGGTGGTGTAAAAATTTCTACTGTAAAATTGTACCTTGCATTTGTCCGTCCAACTGCATACTTAATGGTCATGTCTACTGATGATGATGTCTATTTTATTTTCTTTTCATTTTAATGAGAGACTGGGGCGCCCGCTTTGATTTGATAGCTTTAGAAGGGAATTCGGCTTTAGAAAATTTTTTAATTACGGAAAGAAATAGCATTTCTATCTTGGGACCAAAGTTTTATTAATGTTTGTGTATTTTAAAACAAAAACAACAAACAACAACAACAAAGCCTTTTCCCACTAAGTGGGGTCGGCTATATGAATCCTAGAACGCCATTGCGCTCGGTTTTGTGTCATGTCCTCCGTTAGATCCAAGTACTCTAAGTCTTTTCTTAGAGTCTCTTCCAAAGTTTTCCTAGGTCTTCCTCTACCCCTTCGGCCCTGAACCTCTGTCCCGTAGTCACATCTTCGAACCGGAGCGTCAGTCGGCCTTCTTTGCACATGTCCAAATCACCGGAGCCGATTTTCTCTCATCTTTCCTACAATTTCGGCTACTCCTACTTTACCTCGGATATCCTCATTCCCAATCTTATCCTTTCTCGTGTGCCCACACATCCCACGAAGCATCCTCATCTCCGCTACACCCATTTTGTGTACGTGTTGATGCTTCACCGCCCAACATTCTGTGCCATACAACATCGCTGGCCTTATTGCCGTCCTATAAAATTTTCCCTTGAGCTTCAGTGGCCTACGACGGTCACACAACACGCCGGATGCACTCTTACACTTCATCCATCCAGCTCGTATTCTATGGTTGAGATCTCCATCTAATTCTCCGTTCTCTTGCAAGATAGATCCTAGGTAGCGAAAACGGTCGCTTTTTGTGATCTTCGCTAGATTGCTCCGGTCATTAGTGTGGATAAGTATATAAATGGATAGAGATAGGAAAGCAAACACAAGATGTACGTGGTTCACCCAGATTGGCTACGTCCACGGAATAGAAGAGTTCTCATTAATTGTGAAGGGTTTACACAAGTACATAGGTTCAAGCTCTCCTTTAGTGAGTACAAGTGAATGATTTAGTACAAATGACATTAGGAAATATTGTGGGAGAATGATCTCGTAATCACGAAACTTCTAAGTATCGGAGTGTGGTGTCGTCTTGACTTGCCTTATCTGTCTCATAGGTAGATGTGGCATCTTCTCTGGAAGTACTCTTCCTCCATCCAGGGGTGGTATCTTTAACTGGTGGAGATGCACAAGGTAATGTATCAATTTCACTTGAAGCTTACTTGTAGTTTCAGGCTTGGTCAAGCGCGATACAAACCATGTAGTAGGAGTCCCCCAAGTCGCCGAGCTAGGGGGTCTGCTGAAAGAGGTGACAGACAAGGTAAGCAATCAGAGCTCCGACTGATTGTTCACCTTCTCCCCATCTTGCAGCAGCATGAAGGATAAAGAGAAGAAAAATGAGAAGAGATGATATGAGATACTTTTGCTTTTGAAGAAGTAACTTTCCACAGGCTTATTCTTGAACTGAGCTGGAGGGTTTTCTGGTTTCCTCCAGAGTATAAGGCCGACTGAAGAATTTGAGGGTCAAAACAAGTCCATCAAATCTAGAGTACGTTCCACCCTGCTGATATGGGATACTTTTGCTTTTGACAGAGTAATGGATGTATCGGCACGTGTGCTGTTACGCTTGTCTCCACATGCTTCCTTGTATCCTTCGCACTTGCCCTATCTGTTCCTCAAGCAGATGCGGAATCTTCCCTGGAAACATAAGATGTTGAAGATGAGTACTCGAGAGCAATGCCAGGTAAGTAATCAGGTAAGGGGTTCCAGGCAGTCAGTTCCTGGCTGGAAGCTTGATTCCAAGTGCTGACTGATTGCTCTCTTTCTCCTTGTCTTGCAGGTAAAAACAAGGCCAAAGGAAAAAGACAGGGAAAAAGCATGATATGGGATACTCTTGCTTTTAACCCTGATGATATGAGATATTCTTGCTCTAGTATAGCTTGTTTGCAGAGGTATTATCGGGGGGAAAGAAAGCTGAATATTTCGAAAGGCTTCGTTGGGAGTGCCCTCTCAGATATGATGAAGGGTTGAGCATTTTTGCAGGTCTGCCTGTCCGTTGGGGATGGAGGTCGACATATATAGGAGTCTCCCTAACAACAAGTAGTAATGCTATTCCTTTACCCTGCTTGGTCATAGCACGGTAGTGGGAGCTGCCAGTTTCACATGTTTTAACTCTGTCAGAGCACTTTGAAAAAGTGGTCTGTGGTATCTGGCTCTCGAGATTCGGAGAACGATGCCTCTTCGATTTTTGAGAAAGCAATCATGCTGGGGGTCTGGCTCTCGAGATTCGGAGAGCAGTGTCTCTTCGATTTTTGAGGAAGTAATCATGTTGGGAGTCTGGCTCTCGAGATTCGGAGGGCGGTGCCTCTTCGATTTTGGAGCAAGCAATCTTGTTGGGAGTGTTGTCTCGAATGTGAGTAAAGGTTGGGCATGTTTGCTAGTCTACCTTGCCACGAAGCACAAAGGTTGACACACAGGGACTTTCCAATTATCCAGCAATGGTACTGTTCCTTTACCCTCTCTTCGATTTTGAGAAAGTAGTCATGTTGGGAGTCTGGCTCTCGAGATTCGGAGGACGGTGCCTCTTCGATTTTGGAGCAAGCAATCTTGTTGGGAGTGTTTTCTCGAATGTGAGTAAAGGTTGGGCATGTTTGCTAGTCTACCTTGCCACGAAGCACAGAGGTTGACACACAGGGACTTTCCAATTATCCAGCAGTGGTACTGTTCCTTTACCCTTGTGGGTAATAATATGGTAGCTAGACCTTCAAAATTTATGTGTCTAAACTTTGTTAGTGCTGTTTCTTTGCTATTCTTTTACCTTTCTTGGTCAGAGCGATGTAGTGGGAGCTGCAAGCTTCACGTGCTCAACTTTGGCAGAGAACTTTGGCAAAGTTATCTGTGGTACCCATGAGCTATTGTTGCGTGTGGGAAGTGGGTGATTGAACAGTAAGATTCATGTGCTTTCTACTTCACCAGAAGTCTTCGACAGAATGCCCATAATTTCTGCAAAGCTGAGTGTGCGTGTGACAGGTGCTGACAAGGCTAGAAAAGTAGGTGCCTCTTCGATTTCTGAGATCGGCCCTCGTGGTCTCTGAGCAGCCCAGCTTTTGAGAAAGCGAGCGCCTCTTCGATTGATTCGGAGAACGATGCCTCATCGATTTTTGAGAAAGCAATCATGCTGGGGGTCTGGCTCTCGAAGATTCGGGGAGCAGTGTCTCTTCGATTTTTGAGAAAGTAATCATGTTGGGAGTCTGGCTCTCGAGATTCGGAGGGCGGTGCCTCTTCGATTTTGGAGCAAGCAATCTTGTTGGGAGTGTTTTCTCGAATGTGAGTAAAGGTTGGGCATGTTTGCTAGTCTACCTTGCCACGAAGCACAGAGGTTGACACACAGGGACTTTCCAATTATCCAGCAATGGTACTGTTCCTTTACCCTCTCTTCGATTTTTAAGAAAGTAGTCATGTTGGGAGTCTGGCTCTCGAGATTCGGAGGACGGTGCCTCTTCGATTTTGGAGCAAGCAATCTTATTGGGAGTGTTTTCTCGAATGTGAGTAAAGGTTGGGCATGTTTGCTAGTCTACCTTGCCACGAAGCACAGAGGTTGACACACAGGGACTTTCCAATTATCCAGCAGTGGTACTGTTCCTTTACCCTTGTGGGTAATAATATGGTAGCTAGACCTTCAAAATTTATGGGTCTAAACTTTGTTAGTGCTGTTTCTTTGCTATTCTTTTACCCTTCTTGGTCAGAGCGATGTAGTGGGAGCTGCAAGCTTCACGTGCTCAACTTTGGCAGAGAACTTTGGCAAAGTTATCTGTGGTACCCATGAGCTATTGTTGCGTGTGGGAAGTGGGTGATTGAACAGTAAGATTCATGTGTTTTCTACTTCCCCAGAAGTCTTCGACAGAATGCCCATAATTTCCGCAAAGCTGAGTGTGCGTGTGACAGGTGCTGACAAGGCTGGAAAAGTAGGTGCCTCTTCGATTTCTGAGATCGGCCCTCGTGGTCTCTGGGGAGCCCAGCTTTTGAGAAAGCGAGCGCCTCTTCGATTTCTGAGATCGGCCTTCGTGGTCTTTGAGCAGCCCAACTTTTGAGAAAGCAAACGCCTCTTCGATTTCTGAGATCAACCCTCGTGATCTCTAAGCAGCCCAGCTTTTGAGAAAGCAAACGCCTCTTCGATTTCTGAGCAGGCGCCTCTTCGATTTCTGAAGCTCCGTCGAGTGCAGATTTTTATAGGGGCTGGCATTAAGTTCCAAAGCACACTTGAATCTCCACCA